ATATATATATATATATATATATATATATATATATATATATATAGTATATATATATATATATATATATATATATATATATATATATATATATATATATAGGCGTGTTGTGTGTGTATATATATATATATATATATGCCCATATATGCACCCACACACATATATATATTACATAGATATACATAGACATATATATATATATATGTATGTATATGGGTGTGTATGTATGAACGTATGTATATTTATGTATATATATATGTAAGTATGTATGAATGTGTATATATGTATATATATAGATATAGATATAAATATAGATATATCTTTATACATATATATATATATATATATGTGTGTGTGTATGTGTGTGTCTGTGTTTGTGTGTGTGCATATATATGTCTATATTCAATATTGTAGACATAGATTTTGAAATTGTACTTTAACCTTTTCGATAATTTCTACCTTCAGTTGCGCATATGTATATTTTTTGTAGTGGCGTGGTTATTAGGTACGCCGAATAGTGAAGTTGTGAACACGTGTGATTATGGATGCCCTTCACACAGTACGTGCGTGTTTGTCTTCAATTTGTTGTGCATCTGTTGTTACATAACTTTTCTACTCCGATATTCAAAATAATAATTGTTGCTATACAATTATATTATTACTATTACTTCAACTATGAAGAAATATGCGCGCGGAAGAAGGCATATATGTTTTAGAGGATTTATACTCATCGGCAGTTATGTCTGAACTTTGTGCTGTTATAGAGATCGTTTACTTTTGTTTTTGAACGTGTACTGTGCAGTATAGAAACTATATGGCTTTCTGTGTGTTATTAAGTGTGCGTGTATGTAATATTTGTCCTGCAATCGAATTTTCTGTAGCTGTCTCCGAGCAATCACAGTTTTGCTAGACCATGTTCATATCAGAATGCATTTCTACATTTGAGATCGGTTTTCTGGCACTTGCCAATATCGTCTACTGTTCAAATTTATAGCTATGACATAGTTTTAATGCTTATTGGCCAACTTAACTAACTGTCACGCCCTTCTTTTCCTTTTCCCTTCCTTATTCTGTCCTTTCTCGTTGATCGATGTTCGTATTTTGTTCCCGTGATCTCACATTCGTGGTGCGTTGTATTACCGTGTACCTCCATGCGCCCTGTACGTATCTGTTGTATCGGGTCTGTTCCCGATTTTATGACGCGATGGACTGATTTCTGCCGTGAAATTTTGGCTGTGATGGAACTTGCTTTGTATTACGGATTTTGATGTTTTTACACTGTCTTTTGTGCTCCATTGCTTCGCTTCGACCCTTCTCTGATTCCCTCGCCTCTGGGTTTACGGTATGTGATGCCATTGCCAATCTTCTTGTGAACTATTCAATGTTTAATCTCGGGCCTCTCCGCTGGATTGTCTCTGCTGTTGTTTGTTGTTCATTACGTATTGAAAATCACAGGAAACTGACTACATTCGAGGAAATAGTACCAGAAATCTATGAACAAGTGACGGATCTAGGTGCGTGCATACCCCTGTACACAGACCCGCATGCCTCTGACTGACTCTGACTGTGGCCTCTCATTTGGGAACGCGGTTGAGTTGGGTAAGAGAAGCATTCATGCTTTTTTTTATGTGTTGTTGCCTGTCTGTGAATCCGTAGGCGTCTTGCGCGATCCCGCAACGCTGTTAATTTCTCTCGAGTATGATACACTTGTGCTCCGCTACAGTTAATCTAATGGCTTTCCTTTCGTAGTCGCTTAAGATAAATACATTTGAACTATGTTTGGTACGTTTCCCTCGGAAGAATGGAAGTTATACACTTGGTATAATTCCCACTTTTCGTCTTTTCTACCCATCGTGGTCAATTACTGACCTTTCCTCTTCCTGCAATGCGTAACCTCCGGGCAATCAAACCTATGGTTTGCGCGCGTGCGGTCTCCTTTGACCTTCTCTCGGATGATTGTATCTTAGAACCGTTCATGCCTGGGATTGGAAATAAGGCCACATCAGCTTTCTGTTTGCTATACAAGCTGTTTACGCTGAAAATGACTGAACAACAAGTCGTCGCGTTGCTTGACAACGAAGATTCTGTGTATGTATATACTCTACTGGCACACGGCTATGCGTACCTGTTTCCTCTACTCAGTGATGTGCGCCACTGTTATGTATTGCTGGTCCTGTTTAGCTACCGGTTCCTCAACTTATCTTGCTACAAGTCGTACCGTATGCTGCTTTGCGTGCTGTTCATCGTTCCTTGTGAACCCTTGAGGATGATTTATGACGTTGGTCTGTCTAGTGGTCGCATTATATCTCGAGTTCCCTAGGTGACTATGACCTTCGATGGCCGGTCTTTATCGTACCTGTCTTTTCGTGCGAATATGACTTATCGGTCTCAATATATTCATACTAAGTATTTGAGTTGAAACTGAAATCGTGCGCAGGTATGTGAGAGGAATTGGCTTTCTGTGGTTGCGCTACTGTTGCCCCCCAAAAGAGTTGTGGTCCTGGATGGGCCACTACATCAATGATACGGAACCTATTAAGGTATTTTGCCCGTGTTTCCCTTGGTTGACCAATAAAATCAGCCTGCTTGTGTAGTTTTGTATGCTGCCACCCATCTATATACTGGCCGAGAACTGCACGAGGGTTGTTCTGTTAGTCCCGGTTAGGTAGTTACTGGAACAACCCAATGTGATAGTGTATTTCCCTGGTGAAAAAATCTGAAGTAGCATCTCTACGCTAGCAACTAAACGCGAATTTCAACTCCCATTGCACAGCCCGGATGGTCGCAGAACTCCCCTGAGACCACCATTGGTAGCTTCATACGTCGTTTGCTAACTGAACAGAAGTACTACAACACCATCATGCCTCGTATCCCCGTACCTGTCGCGCGTGAGCTGCAGAAGCATCTGGATGAAACCCCTTTGGCTGTAGAACGAGGTGTGTGAGCTTGAAACCATGCCGATTTTTGTTTCATAAAATATGGTAGCGATTGTCGCTTCCCAGCACATAATACTTCTCTATGAACCTGTTTTATGAAAATGAACTTGACTAAAACATCGCTGAATAATATGAATTTTCTATTTCCAAGTGTTTGCGTTTTGCTTCCGCATACTGGATACACTTCCTACGAATCGTGTGATGTTGAAACTCTTACACTGTACTAAATCAAATTCAGGTGGAGATGTGGAGATGCAAGGTAATGGTAGAGGTCCTGAGGACGGCAAAGAAGAAGACCGAAGCAGTGCACGTCGCAGTAATAGCCGTCATCGCAGTGGCAGTCGCCGACGCAACAGTCGCAGCCGCTCAGCTGATCGTCGTAGAGACACCACCAAATCATACCGTGATCTAGATGTTCCTTCTGATCGTAAACGAGCCCGAAGTAGAGAATCGGATAGATATCGAGACCGGGAGAGCAGCAGAAGCCGCGGTGGAGGATCGCGCGCAGGAGATGGAGACGTCAGATACCAGGACATCCGGGACGATAGAGACAGGGATGGGCGGAGAAGTGACCGTCGCGAGAGAAGCTCAAGCAGGACCCGTAGCCGCAATGAAAGCAGAAGTGGGAGCAGTAGGAGGCGGTCTCGTTCTCGTAGTAGATCACGCGATAGGGGCGCAGGTAGTCGGACTCGATACAGAGACGACGAGCGGCGAGATAGGAGGGACGACGGCCGAAGTGAGCGTAGTCGGGGAAGTAGAAGTCGCGGTAGAGATAGGGACAGAGATCGTAGATAGATTTTGCGAGGTCGTATGTGTCTCTTGCGTGAGTGGTTACCGGCTACGTGCCTGTGTTCATATCACTTAAACCCCAAACCCTAAAAACCTCTTCCTATGCACGTCAACTGCAAACTGTGAATGTGGATAGCCTTGTACTGCCGATATCAACCCGCTGGTATATTACAGCTACGTCGTCTACTGGTGTCCTATTCATGTCAGGTCGGCAGTTTTCTGCCTGACTCGCATCGCAGGTGGAGATTTTATCCTCTGCTATCAATAATCTCGAGGAATATATTTCAATCAAATTCTATCAGCGATATGCGTTGCTACCCATCTCATGGTGTTTCTTCTTTAATGTTCATCACCGTCTTGAAGCTGCCTTTATTGTAGGCACAAACTAAGTAACTAGCAGGACAGCGTTTTTACCTATAAGTTTATAATACTGTAATTATTCGCAATGGATTGCTTTTCGTGTTTTTTTTTTTCTTTGATATAACTGCCGCTCAAGGTGTGTGGCTGAATATAATCGATCTATTTATATGCCGCCTTTTACTATTCTGACCAGAATACCTTGTATTTACCTCAAACTTTTCTATTTATATAAATTTATCTATACATAATAGTGTGTGAAAGCATGACAATGAAATTTTGTTAAAAAATTCTCCAACACGGGAATCGAACCCATGGCAGGTGAATGGAAATCATCTATGTTACCACTACACCAGTTGGATCTAAATCTGGTGAGAAAGATTCTTTTATATATACAAACTACAAAAAAAAATAATAAAGCTGGACCACGTTGAGGCAGTTTTTTTGGAGTCTACGCTTTGGGAGTGAACTTACTATTTCTGGCGCGCTCTTACGTCGCCATAATATTCTATAATAATAACCAGGTTCTTTTAGGTAATTTATGTTGTTAACCTCATATCATATACCCTAAACTATTGAAGTATGTATATAATGTGAGCTAGACGTTTGAATTGAACTGTGAATGAGTAGAAGGAAGATGATGGAGGCTTGCGCAATTGCTACATACAAAAACAGAACAGGAGATATAGTTGATGGCACTCCGATCTCTATGTGCCGCATACCCAAAACCAGAAACAAAAAAGACATATACAAAACCACGACCGATGAGTAAGATGGATAAAAGCAACCTGATGCAATCGAAGTGGATAGAGGCATGTTTCCGTGATATCGAGCCCGCTGACAGACATTTAAAGAAGCTGCTAATTACTGTTTGAAAAAGAGAGGCCATCGTATCTGCACAAACAATTTTTACCCAACTTACTAGCCGAGGAAGCCTTTAACAAAATGTCAGTGATACAAGCTGTGTAACTATAGCAATGGGTGCAGCACCTAAATGTTACTTAAGCCGTTAGCCGTTATCGCGAGATAAGCTACTCATTCTATACATAGGAACGTTTGAACTTGACACTTCACTGAATTCAGGCCGGAAGCGAATATCATAAACCGAAGTTGTCACGGAGCGCACGTAAGTGTGCCATAAATGCTGAGGAGAAGAGCGAGAAAAAAAAATAGGAACAAATGCAGATATTGCAAAGGATACAATCAGAAGTCTTGACAGTCTTCTTCATTTCTTACCAAAATTACACAAACAGTGGCTTGTAGATGATCGATCAGAGTGACGCTGATTTCATTATATCGCTGGATGAATACCGAGATAGCATTAGCTTCAATAGTACACAGCGTATTCAACTCACATACGATAATCGTTTATGTCTTGTACGGGTTGCCACCTACACTATTTTTACCTTGTCACTATCCAAGCTAATGATAGCTAGACATAACTTTATCCAAATTTAAATGGATAAAAAATATAGAACATGACTAGAAAGAGCGTTGTAGACTCAGTCACCTTCGCAGAAATACATTAAAAAGCTACCGCTACTTCTAGCGGGTTACTTAAGTGCATCCAGAGAATTAGAAATACAACTGTTGCTGGTACCGTACAAAAAAGCGAATCAGTGTGTGGCATATTTGAACAATACGGCGATTTTGTACTGGAGAGTATTATTGGGAAAGCTAAGTCCATATTTTGTTAGAAACAAATCGACAGAAAAAGGTTTATATTTGCTCTCAAATTGCCTTGGGCTGTATGCAAAAATATGAGAGAATTCTAATTTTACGTTCCTACCGGATGAAAGTACGTTATTTTGCCATATGGACAGCAATACAATCCCTCCGGATTACATATCCGCTGGATCAGGTTTAGCTCACGCTGCTATACTAGCAGTCGTTACATCGACCAGTATTAAAACGAGCAGTACGAGAAGATACATATATTCCAAAGACACCACTGGGGAAGTTATTTAAATGATAGATTCCAGAAAAGCCACACGCGGCGCTTTATTTGCCATGCATCTTGACGATATCAACATTAAATTAGCATATAGCTTTACAAACAAAACTTCATTCTTTGGACCCACGATATCAGTGGTAGTTTGTGTACGTGTTTAATTTGAGAGTTTGTAGAGTATGGAGAGTAGCTGAAAGGTACGAGACAAAAGATACAATAGACCTCTTCTCAGCTAGGAAAAGTCCCTAGTCTGAGAGAACCGAACTGATTCTTTTTTTTGTGTTTTCACTAGACTCAGGATTTACTTTAATGTTTCTCTCTCACGCGGAGTCCCGGTATAGCCTACCGGTTCTACCGCCGATTTTTCTGATGACTCTGAAATCAGAAATGTTCATTCCTAATTACAAACCTCAATATTTCAGTATTCTGGGTTTTGGGATTCGGATTGGCTCTTTGATAATCTGATCCCTAGATGCTACAAGTTGCTGAAAAGATTGATCAAAGAAAACAATGTGCAACTCAAGTGCGTATCTTTTAGCGGGATTTGCATTGTCTTTTTAATGTTTTATTTTTATTCAATAGACAAATTCTACTCGAGTGTTTCTCCCACACGCGGGGTGCAGGTATCGTCTACAGGTTATACCGCTATATTATGATGACTCTTATCAGAAATGTTGGATCCGGACCCAAAACTCAGTATTTGATATTTTGTGGCCTTAAATTTTTTTGCACTTCTGAGCATGTGTAGTGGTGGGAAGTGATATCTTATGGTACTTTGGTTTCTTGTGTTTAGTATTTTAAGACAAGGAAAAGGGGGTTATGATGAAAAACGTGTTCGAGAGAATACTTCTCAACAGTGATTGTTATGTCGAGACTTTGGTCCTTATCACTCTGGTTTGTGGTCAGAGCATGCTACAAGGTAAATCAGACGTGGAATTTGTTTTGTGATAGTGAAACTGGGTTGTCCTCCGCCCTGTGCGCTTTTATTGTTCGCTGATCGTTCATTCGTGCTTGTTGCTGTTGGCTTTTGCGGCCTGGTTTGGCTTCGTTTGTGTCGTATGTGTTGTCGGTAAAGTGTAAAAATATAAACATCTCCTATGTCTGTCCCGCGTGTCCAGGTGCGTTATCTATCTGTCCGTTGTAGTATGTACTCTTGATACCCATCATCTCGGTTGAATGGCTTAGATGGTTTAATACGAATGGGAATTGTGTCTCTTCAGTTGTTAGTATTTGGCGGTTGGGGATGAATACTTCCTGTGCTTTAGCCTTTTTATGAGTCCGATTTGTTAATCACTGACCAATTTAGGATATTCTGGGACTCTAGTCTCATCAAGGTTACAGATAAAATACCCATCGCACTCCTTGCTTTCTCTTTTATTCATTTTAGCTTGGCATTTTATTCATTTAATCTTGTAGCGAGCAATTACAATGTCCCCTTCCTAGAATTGTATGCACTTCTGTTGGTATTTGCGGTCGTATGCTGCGCGCATTTATTATTTTAAATATTGCGCCATACTAATGTCTATTTTCGGTCTGCTAGACTCTTCCATATTTTTTAGGCGCATTTACCATACGATGTCAAGCCCCGAAAGGTAGTGTCCACTCCCACGTCGGTCGTCAATGCCTCACACGGCTCCTTTTTTAACACACTTATCGGGCTACCTCGCGCAAACGCATTTTAAGTACATATTCTTCTATCTTGGCAGAAACTCACTTCGACAACCAATGAATGAAACGATGTTAGAGTTTTAATCCGCTCGGTGTAATTTCCCGATAGTGCTTTGTAGTGGCCAGTCATTCATGCGTTTTTGTTTCTCTGTGTCTTTTTTTAGCCCTTGTATGGCGACTCTGATGCCTAATATATTGACTGTCTGGACTACAAATGCACATTTGTTGTTATTTGTAAGTAGCTTGATGGGGTTATGCACAAATCGTCTATGCAATCGAATCCGCTTGTCATATCAACTCTTTCATACTTTTTAGGCGCATTTACCATACGATGTCAAGCCCCGAAAGGTAATGTCCACTCCCATGTCGGTCATCAATGCCTCACATGGCTATTTACCATACGATGTCAAGCCCCGAAAGGTAATGTCCACTACCATGTCGGTCGTCAATGCCTCACACGGCTCTTTTTTAAACACACTTATCGTGCTACCTCGCGCGAACGCATTTTAAGTACATTTTCTTCTGTCTTGGGCAAAAACTCACTTTGACAACCAATGAATGAAACGATGTTAGAGTTTTAATCCGCTCGGTGCAAGTTCCTGTTAGTGCTTTGTAGTGGCCAGTCATTCATGCGTTTTTGTTTCTCTGTGTCTTTTTTGAGCCCTTGTACGGCGACTTTGACGCCTAATATACTGACTGTCTTGACTACAAAAACACATTGGCACCGCCAACTGTCTCTTGTTTGTTGTTGTTCGTAAGTAGCTTACTGGGGTTCTGCACAAATTGTCTATGCAATCGAATCCGCTTCTCGATACAACTCTTTCACTAGTGATGAATAGTCGCGCCACCTCTATGTTAATAAACGTACCCTTAAGCAGTACATAAACTAAGGTTACCCAAATGGGTTTTAACCATTTTAGTACCTTTTCCACTTTACAAATCAATAATTTGGAGTAGACCCATTATAAGGCCTATTAAAATTCCAAAGATCACATTTGGAGTAGCTCTATTAAAAGGGCTATTAAATTATCCACACAAAAAAGCAACATATATCTGAATACTTCAATAGCAAGATGAATCAACCTAAAAGAGGTTTCCAGGGACTATTAGCGTTACATACCAGATCGCCAATCTGATAATGGCGAGTCGGTAATCCTTGATAAGTGGCAAGCTATTGGTTAGTATAGTAATACAATAACTAGGGACATCGAGAGTATTTTTTCTTTTGTCTTTTTTTTCCCTCTAACGATAGGATATTGTTAGTTCTCAACTTCGCCCGATGAAGCATAGTAATAGTTTTGCAAGACGACGACAAAACCATGAATAAAATCTCTTCGGCAAAATCAGTTCTGTGAGGATTCTATATAGGCAATGTCTCAGCCTTTTAAATCCCCAGACTATTGCTGATTTCACGAGGCATACCTAACTTTACTTATGGCTACTCTCGTACATTTTTTTTTGTATTAAAAAGTACAACACAAACTCAATACACTACAGCTTCGAGACATTAGTATCGCCTTATTAGACCGATATTTCCACATTTTGAAGGCAGCATAAATATTGAGCGTGAGCTGCTTAAACGTTATGGTATTTCACTCCAGAGATGTTTTCTTACTCCATTTGTTTTATAACTAGACTTATATACTTAAGATGATGAAGAGCACCAAAGATTTTACTACCTCCACGAAGCATAAAACGGAAAAGAAGGGCCGCAGCCGCTGCAGTCAAAGAAGTTAACAAAGC